TTTAGCTCCAAAATTAGGTTTTATATCCATTTTTATGCTATTAGCTGCTTCTTGTATTGAATATTGATGATACTAGGGATTCTTTATTTTGGACTTACTACTTTCATTTAGCTTTTAAAATTTTATCTATGTGCTTTATGCTATTGGCTGCTTCTTATAGTGGATCTTGATACTGGGGTTTCTTTATCTTGGACTTAGTGTTTGTTTGTCCTGTAGATTTATTTGAAAAGTGAGCTCATTTCAACTGGCATTTTAGCTGCAGAATGGTTTAAACCCCTGATTGATTGTTTATTAGGACTTAAAAAATCCAGCTTTCCTATGATTTTTCATTGTTCTTGACCTTATGTGATTAAATTTGCGTGGAGGTAAACAGTAGGATATTGATCTTTTCTTTGCATTTCTTTTTTATTTTCCAGTGACTTTTACTATTGGCGCGCATAGCATCAATGACAGAAGGCAGTAAATTCTGTTTTCTCTTGGCTTCCACTTTCCTGTTGTTGGCTGTTGTCGTTAAAGTGACGTTTGCTCAAAATTCTGCACCTGGTGATGATATTCTGTTGAACTGTGGAGGTCCCGATGGTCTTAAAGATGCCGATGGTCGAAAATGGGGTTCGGATATTGGGTCAACATATTTGAAGGGTAGCAAGTCGTCAACCTCTGATGCTGCTGATCAAAAGCCCTCTGTCCCTCAAGTCCCTTTTATGTCTGCCCGTGTTTTCCAGTCTGAGTTCACCTATAGTTTCCCTGTAGCACCTGGTCGTAAGTTTGTCCGTCTTTATTTTTATCCCTCGTCTTACAACAAGCTTAATGCCACCAATGCTATTTTCAGTGTGACTGTTGGACCATATTCCCTCCTTAGAAACTTTAGTGCAGCACAAACTGCTGAAGCTCTCAACTACGATTACTTGACAAAGGAGTTTTCAATCAATGTGCCATCTGAAACTTTGAACATGACTTTCACACCCTCTCCAAATTCTTCAAACTCCTTTGCGTTTGTCAATGGGATTGAGATTATTTCACATCGTGACATCTATAATACAGAGGACGGGACTACTACCATCGTGGGTCAGACTGCTGCTTTCATTATTGACAATTCTACTGCCCTTGAGAATGTTTATCGGCTTAATGTTGGAGGCAATGTGATCTCACCATCAGCTGATACTGGTATGTTTAGGTCATGGAGTGATGACTCACAGTATATCTTTGGAGCAGCCAACGGGGTTACAAATACTGCAGACGATGAGAATGTCACAGTAAGCTATCCTGAAGGGACGCCATCTGACATTGCCCCACTTGATGTCTATAAGACAGCCAGGTCAATGGGTCCAACTGCTCAAATTAACCTGCAATACAATTTGACTTGGGTTTTTTCAGTTGATTCGGGATTCTCTTATCTTGTTAGGCTCCATTTCTGTGAAATCACTAAGAATATCACAAAAATCAACCAAAGGGTGTTTGTCATCTACATGAATAATCAGACTGCGGAACCTGCAGCAGATGTCATTGCTTGGACTGATAGCAATGGGGTTCCTTTCCACAAGGATTATGTGGTCACTGTCCATTCTGGGGCTCCACAGCAGGATCTTTGGCTTGCCCTCCATCCATACGTTGCTTCAAAACCCAATTGGTATGATGCAATTTTGAATGGAGTAGAGATTTTTAAAGTGAATGACACCAGCGGAAACCTCGCAGGGCCTAATCCTATTCCAGTGCCAGAACCAGATCATATTGACCCTCTGCCGTCCAAAACAGGTCAATCAAAAAGTAATAAATCAGCTATTGGTGGAGGTGTTGGAGGTGGAATTGCTGCCGTAATTCTTATCGGTTTGGTTGTATGCCTTGTCACTCGCCGCCGGAAACATGGGAAGGTCCAAAGTCCAAGTGATGGACCATCAGGCTGGCTCCCTCTATCTTTATATGGAAATTCACATACTTCCGGTTCTGCTAAGACAAACACTACAGGCAGTTATGCTTCGTCCCTCCCATCAAACCTTTGTCGTCACTTTTCATTTGCTGAGATCAAGGCAGCCACTAATAACTTTGATGAATCTCTGCTTCTTGGGGTGGGTGGTTTTGGCAAAGTATACAAGGGAGAAATTGATGGTGGCACAAAAGTTGCTATCAAACGTGGGAATCCTCTCTCTGAGCAAGGTGTTCATGAATTTCAAACTGAAATTGAAATGCTCTCTAAACTTCGCCATCGCCACCTTGTTTCTTTGATTGGTTATTGCGAGGAGAACTGTGAGATGATCCTTGTATATGACTACATGGCTCATGGTACCCTTCGTGAGCATCTCTACAAGACCCAGAAGCCTCCTTTACCTTGGAAGCAGAGGCTTGATATTGGCATTGGTGCTGCTCGTGGATTGCACTATCTTCATACTGGTGCCAAGCATACTATTATCCACCGTGATGTGAAGACCACTAATATCCTCTTGGATGAGAAGTGGGTGGCAAAGGTTTCTGATTTCGGGTTGTCTAAGACAGGTCCTACATTGGATCACACCCATGTCAGCACCGTGGTGAAGGGAAGTTTTGGATATCTGGATCCAGAATACTTCAGAAGGCAGCAACTCACGGACAAATCTGATGTCTACTCATTTGGTGTAGTGCTGTTTGAGCTTTTGTGTGCTCGGCCAGCATTGAACCCAACTCTTCCCAAGGAGCAAGTGAGCTTAGCTGAGTGGGCTTTCCATTGCTACAAGAAAGGCACTTTTGACCAGATAATTGATCCATATCTGAAAGGGAAGATTGCACCAGAATGCTTGAAGAAATTTACAGAGACAGCAGTGAAGTGTGTGTCTGATGTTGGTGTCGACAGGCCCTCCATGGGAGATGTGCTTTGGAACCTTGAATTCGCTCTGCAACTTCAGGAGAGTGCAGAAGAATGTGGCAAAGGTTTTGGAAAGATGGACATTGAAGAAGGCTTTGATGTCACATGCAAAGGAAAGAAGGATTTAAATGAATCTGCAGGTTTTGATGCGAGCATGACTGATTCAAGAAGCAGTGGCATATCCATGAGCATTGGCGGCCGCAGCCTTGCCAGTGACGACTCAGACGGGTTAACACCTAGTGCTGTTTTCTCTCAAATCATGAATCCAAAAGGACGCTAAAATCTCACTTCTTGAAAGCAAAAATACATATTGCCACTGGTCATCTATAGCTCGTTAAGGCAATGTGCTATCGGTCTCTTTAACACCGGAAGTCACTTTTTTCCTTTCTCGTACTGTCTTATTCTTTTACTCACTATTTATTTTTATGATTCATATGTTATCTTTTAAACTCTTTTGTAAGTTGTATCTACCAATACTCCAAGTGTGAAATAATTTTTCCTTGTACTATTAACTAATGAAGAGGTTGTTCACTGTGACATTAATTCTGATGTCGTGCTTCATGTAGAACTGATGCAAGTGATTGCTTGTATATTTTGTTGCTGCCTAAATCTTCTCATTTTAGGGGAGGAAAATTAACATTATTTAGCACTAGAATTATTTTCCCCGTTGTTTGCTGCTAATATTATTGAGGCGTTACGCGGTTTACCTCGGTAGTTGATCGTTGACTTTGGTTGGAGACAATGAGGGAGTTGGTCCCATGTTCTTATCAAAGATTTTAAAAAGGATTTGTTTAATTTTTACAGGTTTTCATGATAACTTTTTTGCTTTGTTTTATTATCCATTAGTTATTTTAATTTGTGCCAGTTGTATTAACGTCGACAGTTGATTAAATGGGCGGTGAGTGTGTAAAGCAATTTGAAAAGGATTTATTGTTTGAGCTGCATACACGATGGAGAGAAATTGTCGTCTTTCTATCAATTATAATCACAGAGATGGCTGGCCGGATAATAATATTAGCATAAATGGTCTTTTGCTGATTTATTTTAATTGAATGACGTGCATGCCATGTTGTTGACAAATTTTGGTCTGCCCATTTCCATTGGATTATATCAAGCTTTGAGTTTTTAATAAATAAAATAAAATAAAAAACAAGAAAGAATGGAGAAAATGGAAGAAGTTGATAAGGCAAAATAAAAAGTCCTCAGCATGAGATGGGCTTATCAATTAAATTTGAAGAAGTGAGGGAGAGACCTAGCAAATAGCTATCGTTTGAAATATCAACACTTAGGGGTCGTTTGGTAGGGTATTTTAAGAATATGCGGAATAAGGTGTATTGGTAATGCAGGGATTAGTCATGCATGGGATAGTAATGCAAGCATTAGTTATGCAGACATTATTTCTTATTTACTGTTTGGTGTGGTGTATTAAAAATTATAATGCATTGCATAGTTTTTAAGAAAAATAGTTGTTTACAAAAATATCCTCCATATTCTCTAGCTTTAAGGGACTTTAAGGACAAATTTGTCTTTAACCATACTAATGCATGCATTAATAGCCATCGTATTACTAATGTCATGGTTTTCTATGCATTATTTATACTTAGGCTAATACCAAGTATGATGTATAACTAATACAAGTACTAGTTATACACAGGCTGAAAAAATATACCAAACAAGGTATTAAAAATGCATAGAGCTAATGCCACTACAACATTTTAGGTCTTTAGCCACCCTTGAAAAGTGTGGCCTAAACTATCAAAAAGTGTGGCATTTGATCAAAGGCCACACTTTTCAACTTTAAGCAACGCTTTTCTAGGGGTGACCTAAACTAGCGTAACCTTTTCCCTAAGACAACGCTTTTTAAGTGTTGCTTTAAAGACCACGCTTCAAAAGTGTGGCCTATAAGGTACAAATGCTACGCGTGTAATACCTCATGTGGCAACATTTTTCATGTCCTAAGGCTACATGTTTAAATCGTTGCCTTTTCTACTTTGAGGCCACCCTTATAAAGTGTTGTCTTTGTTAATAATTTCATATATCTAGTAATCACATTTATCATCCAATGTAAATATTATTATCATAAATTTTGAGATTATTGCAAAAGTGTGTAGATCTCAAACACTACATTAATCAATAATAAATAACCAAAAAAAAAAAAAAAAATTCAAGTGCATAGACTTATAATGAATTTTGAAAAAGAAATATGTGTCATGTACTACATTAATTAATAAAGCAAATTTCTTAAAGGTAAGCTACGGGAAATGAATTATACAATATCTGATGTATTCTATCATGAATAATATTTTAAAACACATTATACTGCTAAAGCTAATATACGTTAGCAACCCAATTTGTTATCCCCTTGGTCCTTAGCACCCTTCACATCAATCTTCTTATTTTGCAACTGATCCATTTTTGGCAGCTTGACCACTCTAGTAATCTAAGCAACATGTGAGCTTCCCTTGTTCAAATGAGCAAAAACTTTTGAAAGTTTTTGGCCCTTAAGTTCCCTAATTGTAATCTCTTTGTTCTTTTCAGTGGTTTTACCTTTCCATACCTGCAATTGAGACAAAAAAATATGCATTGTTTGTTATAGCCTGCTACTAATTTGAAAAAAACTCTCTATACCAGTTGCAATTAGATAATATTAGATGAGTCTATAATGTTGGAGGGGTTTAAATATGTGAAAGCATTAATTAGAGGGGAAAGGGGGATATTGGAAGGGGGAAATCTAATTTTCTAAAGGATCCTGCTCTTCCTTCAGAATGACGACTTATTCACCAAGAAATCATTAAAATATCAGCACTCCTAGCGGATAGAAGTCGTTGAAGTACTTGACAAATAAACTTTTAAAATAAATAGAAACATGGCTACTAGAGAAATACTTATAAATTAATTTTACCATTTTATTTATCAGAATAGAATTCAGAAGTATGAGTAAACAAGTTATCAAATCAACTAACTTACCATTGTTGCCTTACTTGAGATACGGTGCAGATCCAGATGAAAATATTCAAGTGCTCTGATAGATTGTAGATCATACTGACTAGTTTAGCTACCAGTTTTCTTTTCCTCCTTCACTCATCGCCACCTTTTACTTTACTCATCTCGGGCACATATAAAATAAACCAGCAACAATCTGCAAGCACCATCACTAAAACTATTTCTATAGTATATATGAGAGACAATAAGTAGAAGCTTTCCAACAAATACTGAAAGAGATTTATATTATTAAAAAGTATGACAAGTCTTTTAGGAATATCACACTTCACTCTACATGTGATATTAAGAGCAAATAAAAATAAACCTATAAGTTCACTAATTAGAATGGCTTCTAAATATATTGTCACTAGTACCATTTTTCGCGTAATGAACCTACTGCTACGACAAAGTGATTCCAAACTAGTCAAGCAAATGCATCCACAATGAATACCAAGCTGTAACAATTCAAGTTCTCATTCCACAACTAAAAAGAATCTTAAAAACACTTGCTGCTGCACTATGTTCTACAATATATGAGGTAGCTCATTTTTAAAAGTTGAATTATCTATGAGGTATAGCCTAATGACAGCAGCAACTCATTGAACATGCTGTAAAGATTTCAAACCAATTTGGATAACCATGAGGTATAGAGCTTGTTTGGATGGGCTTATTTTAAGTAGCTTTTAAGCCAAAATAGCTTTTAAATCATAAGTTAGAATTTCTAGCTTTTGGCTTTTGGCTTGTTTTTGTCATTTTAGCTTAAAAACAAGTGCTTAAAACACTTTTTTACTTTATCCAAACACTACAAAATGGCTTAAAAGCTATTTTGGCTTAAAAGCACTTAAAATAAGCCCTCCATTCGGGCTCATAGTCTAATGACAGAAACATCAGCAACTCATTGAAATCTCATCTAAAGCACTCAAATTCCTCTTCACGAATATGGTAAATTGTGTCCAATTTGCATCCCCTACTATACCATACTTGTTTATAATTTAAAAAACATTGAGAAACCACTTAATCAAAGCTACTAAGAAAGTCAACAAAAAGATGTGAATTCCAAAGTCATCAATGGCATTGGTTAAATTTTTATTTGCACGCTGCTAATGGTATCAGAAATGGTTCGCGTGGTTTGTGATTCTTTTTTCTTTATGTGTGTGTGTGTGGGTAACCTGCAAATTTTTTCAAGATTAAGCAGTATGGTAATCAACATATACATCAAAAGTTCGAGTGGGTCCTAATTAAACATAATGCTAACAAAACCAAGATAACCTAGAAGCTATAATTTGATGCCTATCAAAGGGCTTCAATCCAGTAACATAGAAAACACACGTTATCCGACAAAGATTCATAAGTAACTGCAAAAATACTACAACAGACAGAATAAAAAACCAACAAAAGGAATCAAATTGGCTGACCCATTAATTGCTGATCAAGAAAGATCATTCACAGTCACAAATGTTGTGAGAAAACAGAGAAAAGTTCAACACTTTATATCCTAATAAGAAAAATACAAGAAGGGGAACAAACAAAATACTGATTGGGGTTGATGAAAAGTTAAAAACTTACTCCTGTTTTACCAGGAATGGAGCAGTGCCACACCATCAAGTTCACTGACCCATCCGAAAGTGTCTCTGGCTTAGCTACAAACCCCTAAAAAATAACCAAAATAACCATTCAAAAATAAGTAGTAAAATTTACAAATCAAAACCATAAAGAATGGATATCAAGAAAGAATTTTTAAAATAAAAATAAAACTAACATGGGGGTGATTTTTGCGCCAAGCTTTGCGCTCCTCTGCAAGACGGCCACGGGCTATACCTCCTGACATTACTGTCTTTCTCTTATCCCAAACAAAAGGAGAAACCAACTATAACTTCTTACAATAATAACTACCAACTATCATAAACGAAGAGAACTAAGAAGCAGAGAAGGTAGGACTTCGAAGTATGGATCATTTTTGTCCAACAATCGATACAACAAAAAATTTGTTAACATAGAGAAAATGAGAAAAAGGCTCAGAGAAGATGCAAATGGTATAAGTAAACTATAAAACAACCTATCAATCTTCGGTGAAGCATTCACAAATAGAATCTATATGAACATCAAGCACTAGTTAAGCATCATATTCTTTTTTTCATGAAGTAAAAGGAGTTCAGAGGATGCAAATAAAATTACAATTGAGAAAAGAATATGTTTGCTCATGGACAAGCTAATCCAAAATTAAGGAGCAGTTATGCATTTGATGTTACAATTTGCTCATTTTCTTGTTTTAATTAAGCGGTATATTATTATTCATTGCTTTCATAGAAGAGTATTGGCATGTTGCACAACTCCACTAACTGGACACTGTATATTAACAAGTTATTTTACATCAAACTCTTGTACTTGATTTTTTTTCATTCTTAACTAGATGTCTTGTATAAGATGACAACTTTTCTAAAGGCAACTGGTTCCAAATAACCAAATGCTAAGAAGTATTGATAGTGTCAAATATTATAGAATGACTGAAACTTTATACCCAAAAGCAGCGTATGTATCATAGGTATTGTACAACATGTCATTATCATAAGCTCCTATCTGACATCTTAAGGATGTCTAAAGAAACAAAATAAATAACGAGAGCTACTATAAATAACTGGCATAACTATAGGAAGTACTGTGCTATTCTTTTATTCCCACTTACAAGGCAAACAAGGAAGTAAAGAATGCGGAGATGGCCAATTTAATCAACACCCACATGAAGTCTTCTTCATTATTCACTACCGTCAATGCCAAAGCTAGCTCTGCAGCTACCTATATATGATGGATTATCCAAAATAAACCCTTATGAATGGGCAAAATAAAAAGAACTAAACAAATATTGATTTAACGTCAATTAAATAGTCTTACAATGGCTAAAAAATTTCCAACTTGAATTGTCAGTGAAGGTTTTGAAGAAGCCAGAGTTCAACAGCCTTCAAATGGAATGAAAATTACTTGTAAAAATGAACAAGCTGATAGATGGATAGTATAGTTAGAATTTTTTTCGGATTATCTATAGATCTTAATTAGCTCCTTTATATAGAGTTGTTGAGTCAGTTATAGTTTCTAGTCCAAATTGAGTTCACCAAAGACTAAGTTTTAATAGACTAATAAGGCTAACCGGAAATAGCGAGATGAGAACAATAATACGACAGAATAGAGCAAAATCAGAAAGAGGCTGCTAGAATGAGCGAGGCGACAACATAAATTCTAGACAATAGGAGAAGATAAGAAACATACAATGCAATAACTAAACCTACAATACAGAAAACACATATTGGTAGAAAGATAGAAGTAGAAAACCGAAGAGAGAAGAGAAGAATGTACTCACAGAGAATTAACTACTATAGCCCTAAAATTTGGCAAGGGTTTTCGACGATTAGAAGCAGCAACAAACTGAAGTTGACTCTTTCTATCTCTGAGATGCCTTTGGAATTAGGAATAAAATAAATTTGGGGAAAAAATATGGATGAATTGTGGGGTAGGAGGAAATAGGGAATGGAAAATCAAAATAGAACTTAGCAAAATAGCGGGTTCCCTTATTTGCTTTTTCAAAATGGGGGACAATATTTTATTAAGAGGTCGGGGGGAAAATTTTTGGTGAAAATTTTTAGACTACACTTAGAAAGTGTAGCTTTTAGGATTGATAAATAGCAACTACTTGAAAGTGTTGTAATATAGGCAAATAAGCGTTGCCAAATATTTTATGATTTGGCAACACTTAATGAGCGTGGTCTTTAGTGTCTAAAAGTACCCTTTTAAAGTGTAGCCTAAACCTCGTAGCCAAAAGTCGGAGACAAAGGCCATCCCTAAAAAAACGTTCTCTTAGATTCTTTTGGCAACACTTCTCAAGCGTTGTCTAAAATTAGTGTTGCCTTAGGACAAATTTGTTGTAGTGTGCTTGCATTATTTTTTCTAATACCTCCTACCAAATGACCCCTTAGTATCCAGAATATAGGTGCAACGTCCACTGAGAAAAGAGCTTGGGGAGTGAAATTAAAAAACAGGCAGATTTACAAGTGGTAATTGAAAAATAGCCACAATTTCAAAAGTAATCGAAATTTAGCCATTTTTCGTGTAAAGATAAATCTGAACGAAAATACTGTCCAAAATACAAAAAATATTCCAGTATAATATACTGGAGTTTCAACATAATATACTGGAGTTCCAGCATAATATATTGGACAACAACAACAACAATAATATACCCAGTATTATCCCACACCGTGGGGTCTGGGGAGGGTAGTGTGTACGCAAACGTTACTCCTACCTTGTGAGGATAGAGAGGCTGTTTCAAATAGATCATCGGCTCAGGAAAGCATAAGCACCACATTAATGAAAATATAAACAAGAAGGGACAGTAGCCCTAATATGGGTATTGAACACCGGGTGAAAAAACCAAAAAAAAAATGATATGAATGAATTTATCAGAAAACAATTATATACTCAATTGCCATTTTAAAAGGAATTTTTGCAACTGCCAATCAGTTTCATCACTTTTGTGAAAAAAGGAACTGTTATGATCAATAAGATAACATTTCTCCATCAATTTGATATGTCAGGTTGTTATTACAGTGTAAGAGACATGTAATTACAATATATAATCTTTTCAATTGAAAAAAAAAATTACCACCAGAAATGCCAAATACAAAAGTGCTGTAAGCAACAACAACAACAACAACAACCCAGTAAAATCCCATAAGTGGAGTCTGGGGAGGGTAGTAAGTACGCAGACCTTACCCCTACCCCGAAGGAGCAGGGAGGCTGTTTCCGGAAGACCCTCGGCTCAAGATAAGAAGAAAAACAAAAAGGGGGGAATGTTAGTTTCACCACAGAGATCATAGGAAAAATAGGAAACTTAAAATGCAGAAGGAAAAATGCAAAACAAAAACAAAAATGATGGCTAGTAAATAGGTCCTGCACCGAAAAGAGAAAACAGTAAGACACGACAATGCCCCAGCTATCTCAGACAAAAACCCTACCAGACTAGGCTCACAACAGTACAAGGTAACGCAAGACTCAACTACCTCCTAGCATACAACCGTAATAATCGACCTCCACAACTTCCTATCAAGTGTCATGTCCTCGGAAATCTGAAGCCTCGCCATATCCTGCCTGATCACTTCTCCCCAATACTTCTTAGGCCGCCCTCTACCTCTTCTCGTGCCTCCACAACCAGTCGCTCACACCTCCTTACTGGAGCATCTGGGCTTCTCCTCTGTACATGTCCGAACCATCTGAGCCTCGCTTCCCGCATCTTGTCATCAATGGGAGCCACGTGCACCTTCTCCCGGATATCATCATTTCTAATCCTGTCCATCCTAGTGTGCCCGCACATCCACCTCAACATCCTTATTTCTGCTACTTTCAGCTTTTGGATATGTGAGTTCTTAACAGGCCAACACTCAGCCCCATACATCATGGCCGGTCTAACCACCGCTTTATAGAACTTACCTTTGAGTATCGTTGGCACTCTCTTATCACACAAAACTCCGGATGCTAACCTCCACTTCATCCAACCTACCCCAATACGGTGTGCGACATCCTCATTGATCTCCCCTCCCCCGTGGATAACCGACCCAAGGTACTTGAAGCTGCCTCTACTAGGGATAACCTGTGATTCAAGCCTCACATCCACGCCCACTTCCCCCGGCTCAGTGTTGAACTTACACTCCAAGTATTCCGTCTTTGTTCTGCTCAACTTGAAACCTTAGACTCAAGAGTCTGTCTCCAAACTTCTAGTCTCTTGTTAACACCGACTCATGACTCATCAATCAGAACTTTGTCATCGGCAAATAACATGCACCATGGCACCTCCCCTTGAATATGGTTTGTTAATGCATCCATCACCAGGGCGAATAAGAACGGACTGAGCGTAGAGCCTTGGTGTAGCCCCATTTCAACCAGAAAATGCTCCAAGTCGCTTCCTACTGTCCTAACCCGAGTCTTAGCCCCATCATACATGTCCCTAATCGCCATAATATAGGGAACCGACACACCTTTTGTCTCCAAGCATCTCCGGAGAACTTCTCTTGGAACCTTGTCATACGCTTTCTCTAGGTCAATAAACACCATGTGCAGATCCTTCTTTCTCTCTCTGTACAGTTCCACCAACCTCCTAACAATGTGTATAGCTTCTGTGGTAGAACGACCCGGCATGAACCCGAACTGTTTGTCGGATACAGACACTGTCATCCTCACCCTCACTTCAACGACCCTCTCCCATACTTTCATGGTGTGACTAAGTAATTTGATACCCCTATAATTGTTACAACTTTGGATATCACCTTTGTTCTTATACAATGGAACCACCGTACTCCACCTCCACTCATCCGGCATCCTCTTCGCCTTAAAAATAACATTAAACAACCCAGTCAACCACTCCAAATCTGCTCTGCCTACACACTTCCAAAATTCCACCGGAATCTCGTCTGGCCTGGTTGCTCTGCCCCTACTCATCTTATGCATAGCCCCCACAACCTCCTCAGCCTTGATACGCTTGCAGTGCCCGAAGTCACGGTGACTCTCGGAATGCTCCAATTCGCCTAGCACAATATCCCGATCCCCTTTTTCATTCAGAAGTTTATGGAAGTAAGTCTGCCATCTCCTCTTAATCTGGGCATCTTCCATCAGTATCCTACCATCTTCGTCCTTAATGCATCTCACTTGGTCTAAAATCCCGAGCCTTCCTCTCTCTCAACTTGTCCAGCCGGAATAACTTCTTCTCCCCGCCCTTTTCCCCTAGTTCCTCGTACATACGACCATAAGCCGCAGTCTTAGCATCCGTGACTGACAGTTTAGCTTCCTTCCTAGTTACCTTATATCTCTCCATGCACGCTCGCCTCTCCTCCTCACATATGCTCCCCACTAACTTCATGTATGCTGCCTTCTTCGCTTCCACTTTACCTTGGATCACTTCATTCCACCACCAGTCTCCTATATGCCCACTAGAGACACCGGTCGAGACCCCTAATACCTCTCTCGCAGACGCCCTTATACAGTCTGCTGTTGCTGACCACATAGTGTTTGCGTCCCCACTGCTCCTCCAAGCACCCATAGCCGACAGCCGCCACTCCAACTCTTGGGCTTTATCCTTAGTCAATGCTCCCTACCTGATTCTCGGTGTTCCTCGAGCAGTCCGTTTCCTCCTCTTGAACCTAATACCAATGTCTATCACCAAGAGTCTATGCTGCGTCGCGAGTGTCTCACTCGGAATCACCTTGCAGTCCTTGCACAGCCCGTTGTAATACCTCCTGAGGAGGAGATAGTCAAAAGTGCTGTAAGCATTTATTTAAATATTGGCTTCGTCTCATGATGAAGTCATCATGATATTTCTGATACCAAATGTTGGTATCTAGTCGAAAATTAAAGAAAAATCTGAGAGGAGGAGACAAGGAATTGAAGAAAGAAGCAGAAGAGAAGAAGAAGAAGACAGAAGAAGACAGAGGAACTAGAAATGTGGGAGAGACTTTCGAATTTTCATTGATATTCAAAAGTGTCTAATGAATTATTACAATTGGCTATTTATACTTCTCAATGAACTACTGTAAATGCAAAGATCAAAGCAAGAGAATTGAGCTAAGGCATAAGCTAAACAAACTTTCAAACTAACTACATTTCCCGCCATTAACTAATTCAACTCCTACTAACATAACTAACTTTCAAACTAACTACTCTTCAGCTATTGACGTGGCTTCATGGGCCATTGCTGAGTTTTGTGTATCAATAACCCCATGTGGAAGAACACCCTTGTCCTCAAGGGTGAAAGAAGGAAACCTGGTCCGAAGGAGGGAAGAAAATTCCCAAGTAGCAGCATCAACTTCCAAACCTTGCCATTTAACAAAGCATTGAGCAACGGCCTTGTTACCTTTTTTGACTAACCTACGATCAAGTATAGCTTCAGGAGTAGGACATAAAGGGCTAGAAAGATCAAGGATAGGAGGGTGGATAATTTCAGAGGGCAGGACAGGACAGAACTTGAGCTGAGATATATGGAAAGTGGGGTGGATTTGGACTTCGGGTGGGAGGAGTAATTTATAGGCAACTGCTCCAATGCGTTCAAAAATAGGGTAAGGGCCAAAATAGCGAGAGGTAAGCTTATGATAGGGAGAGATAGAAAGGGTGGATTGCCTGTAAGGTTGCAACCTCACAAAGACCCAGTCACCAATTGAAAACTGTTTGTCAGTGCGATGAGCATTGGCTTGGTCTTGCATATGCTGTTGAGCTCGTGCCAAATGATACTTAGCTAGCTGCATTTTGAAGTCACGAAGAAGCATAATGTTCTCAATGTCCTCAGAAGAAGAATCACCAGGAAGATAAGGGAGGTGGAGAGGAGGAGGGTAGCCATAAAAGAGTTCAAAAGGGGAAGTCTGAATGGCAGAATGGTGTGATAAATTGTACGACCATTCAGCCAACGGCAAAAAGGCACACCAATCAGATGGTGAATCAGAACAGAAACAGCAAAGATAAGTTCCAAACACCGATTGAGAACCTCCATTTGGCCATCTGTTTGCGGATGATAAGATGTAGAAGTATGCAACTGGACTCCTTGAGCCGAAAGGAACTCCTTCCAAAAGGAGCTAATGAAGATGGGATCACCATCACTGGTAATGGTAGTAGGAAACCCATGGAGTTTGAAGATGTGATCTAGAAAAATAGGCACAAGGGATTGCGCAGTGCAGGGGTGAGCTAAAGAAATAAAATGACCATACTTAGTCAATCTATCAACGATGACCCAAATAACAGTCTTTCCCTTTGATCTGGGCAAACCTTCAATAAAATCCATGTTAATATCTGTCCAAGGAACTGCACGGAGAGGTAGAGGCTGTAACAACCCAGCTGAAGCAGATGTGTCATACTTGTTCCTTTGACAAATAGAACAATTGAGCACAAAATTAAGAACATCATTTCGGATGCCCTTCCAATAAAAGTAAGCCATCAATTTCCTAGTGGTTGCATCAATACCAGAATGACCACCAGATGGGGAAGAGTTCCACAGGTGCAAAAGCTTAGCCCTAACCCCAAATCATTTCCATCCATCAGTTTACCCTTCCGCCTACGTTGATTATTTATCCAAGTGAAGTATTTCTGTGGTGAAGACTGTAAAGAGGTAATGAGGTGGCTCAGTTCAGGATCTTGAAACCAGCTGTTGTGAATCTCATTCCAAAGGTCTGTCTGAACACAAAAACCATGAGGGACATCAATTCAGCACCTGACACTCTTGACAAGGAATCAACAGCCACATTCTCCTTGCCCTTCTTATACTGAATTTCAAAATCAAAGGGTAGCAACTTAGCCAACCACCTAATCTGCAAATCAGTGTATAACTTCTGTTTTAGCAGGTGCTTAAGGGCCTTCTGATCAGTTCTCATAATAAAGTGATGACCTAAAAGGTAATGAGACCATTTAGTAACTGCAAACACTAGAGCCAACAACTCCTTCTCATACACAGATAAAGCCATGTGCCTAGGAGCTAAGCCTTTACTGATGAAGGCTATAGGGTGGCCCTCTTGCATAAGAACAACACCAATACCTGTTCAACTAGCATCTGTTTCAACTACAAATGGAAGAGCATAGTTAGGTAATGCTAATACAGGAGCAAAAGTGAGAGCCACTTTCAATGCTGCAAATTCCTCTGCAGCTTTAGCATTCCACAGAAAACTATCCTTCTTGAGCAAGTCTGTGAGTGGCCTACCAATAATACCATAACCTCTGATGAACTTCCTGTAATACCCTGCGAAACCCAAGAAACCCCTCAGTTGTTTAACAGTCGTGGGATCTGGCCATTGTTGGACTGCTTCAATTTTCCTAGGTCAGTAGAGACCCCGTCAGCAGTAATAAAATGTCCTAAATATTTCACCCTTGAAACTCCAAATGCACACTTAGATTTCTTGGCCAATAGGTTGTGAGTGACCATAGTGTCAAATACCTGCTTCAAATGGTTCACATGATCTTGCAAAGTAACACTATAGATCAAAATGTCATCAAAGAATACTAAGACAATTTTTCTGAGAAAATTCTAAAACAAGTGATTCATGAGACATTGAAATGTAGAAGGAGCATTAGTTAAGCCAAAGGGCATTACTAAATACTCATAGTGGCCAAAGTGAGTTTTGGAAGCAGTTTTGGAAACATCCTCAGGTAGCATCCTGATCTGATGATAACCAGATCTGAGATCAATTTTAGAGAAAATTGTGGCCCCAGCTAACTCATCTAACAGATCATCTATAAGGGGTATGGGAAACTTATCCTTGATTGTGCACTGATTCAATTCCCTGTAGTCTACATATAGCCTCCAGGACCCATCCTTCTTACCAACAAGAACCACAGGAGATGAAAAAGGACTGTCGCTGTACTAGGTAATCCGTTGCTGCAACATTTTATTAACCAACTGTTCAATGATGCCTTTTTTAATAGAAGAGTACCTGTAGGGTCTAATATTTACGAGTTTTGAGCCAGGTTGAATGGGTAATCTATGATCAAAAGCTCCCCTTTGTGGAGGTAGAGATGTAGGTTCAACAAATACCAATTGGTATTGATGCAAAAACAGTTCAATAGTAGATGTATTATCAGCTTTGGTCATATGCAAGGCTTGACAGTGCATAGGAGTGAGTGAGCTAGGAACACTATCCCTCACTTGCAACATAAAGAACTGGATGTCATCCCCCTTCAACCTATTTAAGGACATAGGAATGGAGACCTTACAGTCCTCAGACACTCCCCTCAATATATGAGACTTTCCTTGATAGTTGAAAGCCATAGTAAGCTCAGAATAATCCATGGTAATGGGACCAAGTGTTTTCATCCACAAAGCTCCCAGAACCAGATCATATTTACCAACTGGGAACACAAGTAAGTCAGAAGAGAATGTAGTACCCTGAAGAATCCATTCAAATCCCCTAACAACCCAGAAGTGGCTTCCAAAGTGTTGTTGCCAAGGCTTACATAACTCACCCTAGTAGGATAAATTTGACACCCCAAACTCTTAGCAGCCTTTTCATCAATAAAGTTATGGGTACTACTCCCATCCAACAAAATTTGAATTGGTCTCTTCTCACTATATCCAGTAACATGAATGGTTTGAACTCCTTGTAGGCCACTTAGGGCACATAAGGATATCATAGGAATATCATCTTCCCAGCTACCCATTCTTCCTTAGAAGGAGTCTCCTCAAATTGTTGCTTAATAGTCTCTTCACACTCACCTTCTGCAATCTCTAGATCCATCACAAACAATTGTTTAGGCAGGTTACATTTATGACCAACAGTGTATTTATCATCACAAAAATAGCAAAGACCATGTGCTCTCCTAGCCTGCATTTCTGCAGGAGAAATAGTTCTCCTATTTTTGGGAACATTCATAGTGGTTGAGGGAGGTAGAGCTAAGCGAGGAGTGGAGGAATGAGGGCTAGGATTATGTTTGAGTGTAAGTGGTTCATATGAAGACTTTTTGAGGTGAGTAGAGGACACAGAAGTGGTGCGACTCCTTAAAGATCTAGTATTAGCAGCTAAGGTTTCTTCAGCTAGTCTAGCTAAGCGATAAGTTTTAGACAATGTCTGAGGCTCATGCATTTTAACAGGATGTACCAATTCCTCCTTCAATCCACCTAAAAAACAGGATATGGCCTGACT